ATTGCTACACTACTTTTGTCCATAATTTGACATGTCATGTATTATAACGCGCATTTATATATAAAGGCTTTTTTTTACTTGAAAAGAAAGGATTATATCATATAAGCAATATATTTTATTAGATAAGCTGTGCATATTTGCAAATCATGAGATATAAGAGGTGAAAAATTTGTGCTAATAATCCTGATAATTTTATTTTTAAGATGGTTAATTTTTCACAAAAATATTTATGCAGATCTGTCTAATATTTTTTATAAATACCTTATCTATTTTTTCCTTTCATTTTTGATCTACATTATGGTAAAGTTGTCATTGTACATTGACTTTAAATCAAACTACATCACAAACAAATAGAACTTCTGCCTTCTTATATGTTTAAAACAAGAAAAAAAAGTATCAAATTTCTCTTGTGATTGGCATCTCATATACAGATATTTAGTTTTTCTTTTGATTATTCTTTAGATAAAAATAAAATAAGAGAATAATACTTTATAATATAGGTTATTTATATACTGTACATATATGATCCCAAATGGATCTTAACGAATATTTCAATAATTTTTATTAATAAAAAATTTTTACCTTACGTAAGACCTTATGGCCAAGCATTTATAAAAAAAATATATTGTTATTTTCATTGCTTAAATATGTTGTGGGAATATGAGAATATGAAAATGCACTAACTTTTTTTATCTTTAAGTACAGACATTACTCTGAATCTTAATATTTCTTTTTTTAGAAATAGGGATATAGACATGATATCATTTTCACAATTATTCCAAGTCTGTATTTTGATATGAGTTCTCTTTTCTAATTATACTAGCATTAATTGGTGATTCTTTTGGGATCCTTGCTGTGGAACTGACTGTAAAATGTATTAAAGGAATGTGAATTTATCTTTAACTTACTAGCGATAAATCATACTAATAAATCATAAAAAATTACCTGTGATCTATACCTAAATATATTTTATTTCTACTTCACTGAAAATATGTCTGCACTCGCCTTGTAAAATAACACCTTGTGATATATCTTTGAAGACTTTACAGCTTCTATTCTTCTTATCACCTGTTTCTTGATTTATGTCATCAGAAACTAATTCTCTAATTACCTTCCTACACATGATAATAGAATTTCTAATGAGCTTTCTGCATGTATAACTGAAATTAATAGTATTATTATCGCAGAAATTGAAAAAAATAAGGCACATGATGAAAGTATTATTGTGAAAATTGAAAGACTCCTTACTGATATCTACAAAAATATAACGCAGAAGTTAACTCTAAAATCACCAACGAACTTTCTGCATACCCTTTCTGAAGTTAATTCTACTTTCACTGCGAAGCTTGTGAAAAACAATAATGAACTTAATAAGAAACTTACTGAAGAAATTGCTAAAATCAATTCACATGATACTGGTTATGTCTCTGAGATGTAGAAAATTTTATCGATGGTCAATAATATAATCACAAGACTTGATAATATTGAAGAAGCCTGCTGAAATGATTTTGGCAACATTTCATCTAAATTCACTTAATCAAGGCCTCTATTGAAACTCTCCAAAATAAAATGATCCAATGTTATGCAATTACCTAAAGGCTTTAGGTCGATTTTGATCAACTGAGTGTGACCAACCATTCCTCTAGTAGCAAAGTTCTTCTAGTAAGAAAATAGGAACCGTTTTAAGTGAATTTTTGATTCGAATAAGGAAGAAGGAAAAACTTTAGATTATGCGTTTAAAACAGTTACTGGGAAAAAGATTGGGAAAGAAACTTTTATTATCGTGGAGGAGATCCAAAGTTTAGAATAATAATGTCAATTATGAGATGAGTAGATAGTAAAGAGTTTAGTAGTAGTGCAAATAATAATGCAGAGTAGTGAGAAGGAACTGCCATATTTAGCTTAGGGGCTGGCACGATTTCTCCTTTTAAACGCGATCTACTTCAATATCTTTTATTAGTTTCATTTTACTTAGCCGGTCAGCTCTTTCTTACGTATTATTTTACAAAGATATAATAAAAAAATTTACTTTGAATTTTATAATATTTATTGTTTTATATATATATACATTCTCAAATATAAATTTTGTGTTCACTATCAATGAAAAATAATTTGCTTGTAATAAAAAAATAACTAACATTTTGATTAAGATATTGGCAAATAAAAATCAAATGATTGTCTAAGCCACAGTAAAAATGATCAAATGATCGATGTGATAATAAAGTCATCGAGTCTACTTAAAACCTTGTATTTTTCTTCCAGTTTTACAGTTTTACATGACTAATATTGAAACCAATGTGGTAAGAAAGTTGAATATGGATTTTTTTGTGGTCCAATGCAACAATAACCATTTGCCTTCATTTCTAACAGATACATAAATATTTTATATGAAAAAGTTACGATTAGAATATTATTGATTTTTTTGAAGAATGTGACTTGGAACCTTATAGGAGAAAGATTCAAGAATACCTTTTATCTCTCAAAACAATTATTAATATGGAAAAAGATCAGAGGTGCAAGACTGCTCAGAATTTGTTCAATAGGTATAATAAGGCAAGTTGGAGTTTTTTTATGAAAATTTTTGAATGAATAAGTGGCGTGGTAGAGACCCTCGAGCTCTCTATCATTCAAGTCCTCCAAGCTGAGCCACAAAGACAGTGCTGGGATACAGGTGACCCTCTGAGCTTGCCTGATATTTAAAAGTCCTCTGAGCCTACTGGCACTGTCAGATGCAGATGACCCTTCGAGCTTGTTTGTTGTCGATAAGAAAATCAGATAGAACGAGAATACGATAGTTTGGGATACTTCTAATTCTCTAAATTTATTTTCAATAGGGTAATCGTCCCGATAAGAAAAAAGCAATAGAATGGGACAATGAGCGCTCATGTAAGCAGGTACACATACATCAGCCAACTATAAATAGGACTGTGAGCGGGACGATAAGTAGCATCAGAATAATAAATAGCGTAAGTAGAACTATAAACGGCGGAGCTTTCAACTTAAAAAGGAGCGATCAGGTATATATGAGCGTTTTCTTTTAACTAAAAAGTTGAGAATCGGCGGATACTAATTATTTTGTGTTTTAATACTAGGGCGAACAGTTCAAGCGAGATCCTCATACAAAACGAGATGCAAAAATAGATAATTATTTTCAATATGAACAAGTCCAGCTACCACATACTCCTCCACATTGTATTTTTTTGTGTGAAGCTTCATCAGGTGCTTCCGAGGGATCAAAGGTAACTTCATAATTATTCTAATAACATGTTTTACGCTAATTTATGTGCTTAGATATTTTTATATTTCAAAATAACTCAAGACTGATAAAGGACGAGAATCTGAAGCAGGACTGGAACGGCCATGCATATCAGAGAATAAGGAGCTGGTATTTATACAACATTTTGTTAGTTCCTTACTTTTTTTGGCAAGCTGTTCACAATCCGTTTTCTTTTATAAGTCCAAACGATCTCGAGAAAATAAAGAACAAGAATGGGTAAGGAAATGCAAGTCGACAATACGGAGGATGGTAGCATTTTACCCAACGGTTCAGTATTACAGAGACCACCAAATTTCATTCCATCAGATGATGAAAATAACGAGTTTTCAGATTATGATGATGATAAAATTTTGGATAATGATATCAGTTCTGTGCCATCCAATACATAGAAATGGAATTTACCTTCGAATAAATGTGTGAAAGAAATCTTTTCAGAAAATGTCTCTTAATGTGTTAAAGTTTTAAAAGACAAAAAAAAGTTAACTGCAATTGAAAAAGCAACTTTAAAATACGGTATGTCTAAAATTATTGACCTATCAGCCCACATGAACAAATGGTTCTTTATGAAGGATCGTTAATATATAATGAAAGGCCACGAAAAAATTCTTAAGATTCCTGAACTGGATCAAGAAGTAAATAAATTTATTACAAGGATAGAAGAGGTAAGCAAAAAATATGTGTGTGCGTGTGTATAATCTTATATATATCTTTGTTTTTCAGATTGCACTACAAGAAAATAATGCTAATAAAGAATATAAATTTTGCGTCGAAAAACATATCAATTCGTCGGATAATACATGGTTTTACAAAATTAGTAAAATTTATAGTGACTTATATGTATTGAAATTGTTTATATTGTTGTTTATAACGGTTTGTTCTGAATATTTTTGTCTATTCATATAGTCTTTTTGAAGTTAAAGATGGTGGTGATTAAAGATGGTCCCCATAATTATTTTCAAATTTCAATTGAGTTGCAACTTAATTGCGCCATAAGGAAATTTAATTGCGCCACAAGTTGCAACTCAATTGCGCCATTTTTTTTAATTGTGATGACTATCTTTACATATGATTCTTATTATCATTCTAAAATCTATAAAAACAATATGGCAATCTGCTTTCGTTGCTGGAAACCATTTCGAGTTAATGAAATAAAGCCAACTAAGACATACCACCATGGATGGTATAGATTCGTTGAATTGATTGAAGCTAAGGATATAATGCAGGAACATTGGGATCAAGAATGTTCCAATCCTTTAAGTGATCTTAGACGTGTAAGGGTTAAGCAACAAGCTTTTGAACCACACTCGTCAATTCCAAACATGCTATTTATCTCATCTCTATATGCGAAACAAAATAATTTATTATCATTCACAAAACATCTTAATCAGCCAAAAGGTACCACAATAAGATTGAAAGATGGAGTAGAAATCACGATTGTTTACCTATTTTGACTGACCAATTCTAAGCAATGTAGATTATTACTTTTGATTAAATAATATTTCAACTATATTCCGTTTTTTTACGCTATATAATTTGCATATATGATCGCCTAGTATAATTGGCCGAGCCAAAGGAGTTCTTCAAATCAGGTGCTATGCATGAAATGTACCACCATTGCAGGATAAAAAACCTGATTTGCGGGGTTAGATATTCTAATTTATAACAAAGTATTATTCAGGAAGATCAATGAAGCGATCTTGGGGATTCTTGATTGCGAAACAATATAACTATCAGTTTGAGAATTTCTATGTAACAGTTATCTAACAACAAGCTTATAGGAATTACAAGAAAAGACCCGAATCTTTGGCAAAACAGGTTTGGAAGGTAGTGCAGAATGATGGTACTCCTGACAATAAGAAGGTTTTAGATGTGAAAAATGAATCAGGACAATCGGGATATATTTGTTATAGGGATGAGGGACGTTGTTATCCAGTAAAAAATAATTGGATGTATGAGAAGATAGTCCAATTATGAATATGATTAGATACAGTATCACATATACTTACAGTAGTAAGCAAAAGAAACGCAACCACTATTGGTTACCTTTAAAAGCTTATAACAGGTTAACTATGAGGGCTAAAATCATA